AACCAGTCCATCAGCCTTATCACCAACCTTTGATGTCTTTGGCAACCTGCCATAGGCTTTTCTTGGGAAAAACCCCACAAAGTTCAAAAGACGCTGACAAGAAGCACTGGAATCAACGTTGCTTTTCTACAAAGAACCCAACGGCTCGTTGCTGCTCTTTTAAGCCTTCTGGGAGGGGCCAATCATCTTCTGGCCTTACTCCCGAGTTGTCCTTTATTCTTCAGCTGCTCTTGCCTTCTGGAAGATCTTCACATGCGTGCACTAGGAACAGGCTCCTCCTGTTCCTCTGCCTCTCTGCTGTCCACCTCTGGAGGCTCTGGAGTCCGTGCATCACTCCCAGATGGCCCTGGCCCCATCTCTGCCTCTGATGCAGAGCCCTCGTCCGGGCCTTCCCTAGACTCCATGACTGGCCCATTGTCCTCGCCAGCCTCCTCACTGTCTGACTCCGCTGCCAGGTCCATAGGCTGCTGACGGACCACAACATATACAATAAATTGGTTTGCATAACATCAGGCTTTCAGGAATATTGACCCTGGACCTCGCTGTGTCTTTTGACAGAGCTAGGAAACTCTATGACAAAGGTACATGCATGATTCTTATTCTAGTAACATTTCCCCCAAAAGACAAAGTTAGATGTGGCATCACCAAACAATAAGCAAGTGGATACCTAGTTTATTTTGGCTTTAAGCATACACTTGTGGGAGACTTCACTTTGGAGACATCATCAAAACTGTGTCTACACAATTGGAACGATACAGAGAAGATTAGCATGGCCCCTGCGCAAGGATGACACGCAAATTCGTGAAGCGTTCCATATTTTTAAAAGGTTGAAATTTACTCCTCAGTTGTTTTTATTGGGTATAATTACGGATTATACAGCATTAGAGACTAAACTGATTTTAAACTTAATATCAGCAGCTAGGCTGTTGGTAGCGCAATATTGGAAGAAGGGCTCTTTGTCTACTATTGAAGAATGGACATTGGAAGTAGTGAATTTAGCAGAAATGGCGAAAATTTCAGCGTACTTGAAGGACTATACACAAGAAAGATACATATCGGAATGGAGAAGATGGATTGATTATATTCAAAATAAGTATCAGACAAGAAAATATCGAATAGCTTATGAATGAACGTTAAGTATTAGAAGTATTATGTTATCTATAGTGGAGTTAAGGTTTCAGGGGGGGATTTAGTAGTCTCAGGATAGATAGGTTAATTTAGCTTATGATTGTTAATTAAAATACCCTGTATTTTGCTCTGGGAAGTCTGGGGAGGAGGGTGGGATGGGAAGGGGGGAAGGGATGTGGAGGTGGTTGGGAGGGAAAAAGGGTGGGGGGAATATTGGGGGGGGGATTTTCTTTGTAAAACTTTTTAATAAAAAAAACCCCTGTGTGTTCAAATCCATCCATAGGTTCGATGGACCTTTGCACACTTTTACTGAATTATCAGATTGAATCAGTTCAATCTGCAAAGTTTAATAAATCTTTTGAAATGCTTCACAAATTCATGTCAGCTGTTGGCTAATTTGCATAGTGTGCACTCCTTAGCTACCCATCCTCTACAGTTTCTAACAGGTCCAGTAAAACTATACCTCCTTCCCTCCTTCCTCTTCCTCTTTTGCACTAGAAGGAATGTTCTGATTTATATCAGAAGTTTAATCCAAGTTTGTACTTCACAGGATGGGAAAAGGGTAAAGGTCTCCATTGATGTGAGGTAGGAGACCCATGCTTGTATTTTAAAAATAATTCACACAATTGCTGATTACATGAATACAGCCTACTTAGATTAACTCTCATACATACATTTTTCGATGTATACTTGAGAAAATAATGTGTACATGATTACTTTTAAGGCAGGGGTGTCAAACTCGATTTCATTGAGGGTGGCATCAGGGTTATGTTTGACCTGGGGGCGCGTGGTCAGGATGGGCATGGCCAGCTCGACGTCACTCATGTCAGGGGCGCCTGTGGTGGCACAAGCGCTCTGCCAGCAAAAACAAAGCTCGGGAGGGCTGCACAGAGCTGTTTTTGCTGGCAGAGACACCACGGACTGGTCCTTCGCTATTTCCAGGGCAGTCCCGTGAGCCAGATCTAAGCACACCTGCTTTAAGGCACTGTTTCTCAACACTGAAAACACTAGGGAAATTCTGGGAGCTGATTTTCCCAGAATACCTAGAGCTGCCAAGGTTGAGAAACACAGCTTTAAGGAGTCTACTTGTTAAAGTCATCATAGCTCTTAAAGCAGCTATGTCTTGTAGAGATGACTAGAAAAATCTGAATTATTTTGGAAGCATGCATAGCTTGTTCCCAAAAATACCATTGGACCCTAACATTGTTTGCCCATCAGATGTATCCAGGAAGTCCGTGCATCAAAGAGAAGAAAGCAGATACTATCCTTTTAACATCTGCCTCTCCCAGCAATTGCAGTATAGAAGTATGTTGTACTTGTAAAATGAATGTTTTCATCTCTATGACAAATAATTAGATTATTCCCGAAAAACACTGATTCAGGAGGCTTCCTGAGCTCATGGAATATCACTAGTCAACTTCTTGGGAATTGAGTAGCTTTCTTAATTTGAATCACAAAAGGTGAGCCAGAGATGCAAAATTGGCAGACGCCATTTTTTTTCTTGGTTTTTTTCCAGACCAGAACAAATACTAGAGCCGCAAGTGATATGGAAAACACTTCATTGCAGTCCAAGTCTAGAAGCCCTAGAATTGAACTTCTGTCAGATCTCCCCATTCTCGGTATATGCATTATCCATGTGAACCTTGAACAGGAACAAGTTGAACGTGTAGATGCAACTTTTGTTTGTCAATTCGTACTGTACATCCTGTCGATTTCATTTGATGATGATTTTTTTTAGTTCTCTTGGCAAGTAAAGCATAGAAGTCCTCCTCCTTTTTCTCTCTTCCCCCAGGCCAGACTATGAACAATATTGATGCTTTGCATGGAAGAGTGCATGCAGAATAATTATAGCTGGCCGAGTTATTTTGCATAAGAAACTTCCTTTTCCTGGGAGTAAATATACAATAAAGCACATGACTCACAATCTACTGCCCCATCAATGACAGACAGAACCAGCTTTCTGAGATAACCACTTCCCTCTGCCTAATGGTAGGGCTGGAGGTAGAATTGCTTGGTCATTGTGCAATGAATGCAGGTTGCCATCTGAGCAACATTATTCATAGATCAGTACAGTGAACCCTTTACAGAAAAGATACCAAGTTTTGCTGGAAAATGTTTTATATCAATTTCTATGGTTTGTATGAATTGAAGCTGTCACAGTATCTTTCCCTTTAAGGAGATGGAACATCTCTATCTAGTCATCTCATTTCTGGGACTTGCTAATGTGCAAACCTTTAGCATCCATAGCTTCTTTAATTGAGCCATTGGGCTATCATAATATAAATTCAAAACACCACAGAAGTCAATGGGTCCATTTTTAACATCTTTTAAAATGAGTCATAGGTTGTGCAAAAGAAAAATTGGGGGTTTATGAGAAAAGCAAAACCAACAAAGCTCATCCTTTATACATCAAAAGTCCTCGATTAAGGAATTTCCAGATTAGCATGTGAAAGTCCTATTTGAAAGTCTGAAACCATGTGTTGCCATGACTCTATTAAGTCAGTAATGATTTATTGGACCAGTACAAAGAAATTTCACACTTCTGGGTATTATAGACCTTGTTAGGTCTGCTATGTGAATATAGCCAGCCTGTGTCTGTTATTTGGTTTCGGCAGCAGATGGCAGCATCCAGGTCACCTTAACTGGTCTAAAATAAATGGTGAGCAGGAGAACACGGATCTTCTAGTTCTTGGACAGGAAGCCATCAGGAAACCTAAATCTTGTAAATTAGCCTGAGAAGCCAACAAGATTCTTGAAGAAGGCAATGGGAAGCCATTTCCACATTGTTTCTAAGAACATAATATGGATATCTTTATCCATCTCAAGGACTTTTAAAATATATCTAATGGGCCTGAAGATGCCCAGTGTTGAGGTAAGCACTGGTGTATTGAGGAAACATTTTTCCCGACATATGAAATGTGAGATTAAGTCATCACCTATAAAAATATCTCTTGAAAGATCTGCTGCACACACACATACCCCATTCTAATGCACATCATTTCTGGACCAAGCCATTTGCAGGATTTTTCATAGTGGCATCTGGCAGCATCTCTTCCCCCAAGTTAAAGAATATTTGGGTTATTGATCTCCTACTGCAGTTGTCATCATGACCTGAGCAAATTTCTTACCCATTTGCAAAATATACACTAAGGTTTTTGCTATTTGGGCATTGTAGTTCCTTCATGTCTTTAGGCCAGCCTTTATCAGGTTGGACATCCTTATTGTTTTGGACTACAAATCCCATCAGCTCAGTGAATTCAAGACACACATGTAACTGGGAGAAACGTACAATCTGTTCTGTGCATCTCCAGAACCCAAAACCAGACTTCAGTGAGCTACAAACCTGGCTGGACAGACCATCATTGGCTCCAAGTTAGAAAGATCTTCTACAGGACTCCTCCAACGGAAGGTTGGGCAAAATGCACAATAAATAGTGTCTCCTATTTGTTACCAATGTTTAGACAAGCATGGTCCTTTAGGGTTCAGAACTTTTTATAGTTCTCTCCTAAAGGGACTGGTAGCAGAAAGGAGTCCCGGGGTCTCAGAAGGCAGAGGTCCAAAGGGACCTTCCATCGTGTGAGTGATGGCTTGATTTGACCCTGTCATTATTTCTCTTTGGTTTACCAGCATCTTTGTCTAGCAAATGCTTACTACAGCTCTGGACCCTGCATCAGGTGGGTGGGGCTTTCTTCTAGCTCAGCTTGCAGCTCAGAGCTCCGATCTCCCCTTAGCAAGAAAGAAAGAGGGGGGGGGGGAGAGAGAAAGGCAGCGCTGGGTCTGTTGGTTTTTTCCGCCTGTCTCCCAAAGACGCCCCCTCGGTGCTCGCCTTTGAAACCTGCCCGGTTTACCCACCTTCCCGGCCTCCGACTCACCTTGTCGTTGAGGTTCTGCAGAGCCTCCTTGCCGGCGGTTCTCCGGATCTCCACCTTCCTGCCTTGTTGCCACGAGGAGACGGAGGGAGCGTCGGGTCCGAGGTGAGCCACGTCCCGCTGCTTGGCCACGATCTTGCCGGTGGGAGAGCCGCGTCCGCTGGAGAGGGAGTCGAAATCGATGGTCTTGTTCTCCAAGGAGCCTTCCACCGGGCAGAACATGCCACAAAATTTCTGCCGGGGTTTGGGGCTGCCAGAGCCCAGGTTTTTGAAGAAGGCTGGGACTTCCTCCTCCTCCTCGCCGCCGCCGGCCTTGGCCGCTTGCTTCTTCTCGGCCATGGCTCGCTCCGGGGCACGTCTGGCTTCGCCCGGTTCGCTTAAATCCTCTGGAGGAGACAGAAAGCGGCGGAGACCAGGCCAGCCGGCAGCCTCGAGGCGCGGAGTCTCCGGCCCTGGTTAGAAGCGGGGATGGGCAGAAGGGAGCAGCCTTTTGTATTACCTCTCCCAGGCAGGGTAGGTTGGAAGGGGAGCCCCGCAGGCTGGAGCGCCGGGAAAAGGCGTGGAGGGGCGGGAGAAGATGGTCGGTTGCAAGGGCAGCCGGCGGGAGGGCTGGGTTCAAGTTCCCAGCAGCCAGATGAGGAGGAAGGGGGGGGGGGGAGGAGGAGGAGCGGGCAGGAAAGGAGCGGAGGGCGAGGGAGGGAAAAGGGGTGAGAAAGCCCCACTCACTCTGCAGCAGAAATTAAGGATTGATCCGGAAATGAGGTGACAATCGGAATTGGCGAATTGGGCTGGGCCAGCTGCTTCGGAGGGGAAGCCCCGGCGCGCTGCAGCTCCTACAAGTGGTAGGGAAGAGGAGGAGTGTGTGTGTGTGTGTGTGTGTGTGTGTGTGGAGGTGCCGCAGAAGCTGATGCACCCCCTTTTCTGGAAGGCTTCCTTAATTCAGCCACACCCAACTCAGGGAAAAGCGGGCGTGGGAATCCTCGGAGCCCACGCCCCTCTGACTCTTTTCGCAGATTGGGTTTTTTTTTTTCTTTTTTCCCAGGAACCGGTGAAAGAGAGACCCGATTTGGGCACAGGGACCGGTGCGGGAGAGAGGGGTGGAACTGCCGAGTCAAAAAAAAAAAAAGATGGGGTGCCACTGCAGTGGCTTAAAATATTCCTCCCCACCCCACCCCTTGTTGCTGGCCGTGGGAAGAAAAACCACTGACAAAGCAAGGGGAGAGAATGTCTTGGCGGGGGCGGTGTGGAGGGGAGAGTCCATTTTCAGAACACAAAGATTTGACCTTGACAAGGCTGGCAAGTGGATCTCTTTTGTGTCGCTAGATAAATCAGCTGCTGGAAGGTACATTGAACGTGCATGTTTTCCTATGGTCTTGATCTACGGTATATTATTCACTCCTGCCTTCCCGCAACCAGGTGCCCTTTAGATCGGTTGGAAGGGACTCCTACTCTTTCACCACCCAACACGACCCATCAAACTTGCCTGAAAACTCCAGGTCAAGGAAGACAAATTTATTTTTCTAGACAGCTCGTTAAAGTCTTAGGGATGTATTATTTCCAACCCGGTTGCTACCTAAAACCCTTCACCCCTAAATGCAGTATTGCTGATGTGCAAAGTACATGCTCTGTAGTACTGAATTTTATTTTAACAGTGGAATTAACGGCCAACACTAGGATTTCAAAATCATGTTCTCTCTTTCTCTCTCTCCCCTTCCCTCTATCTTGTAGTCTTTCCCCTCCCCTTTTACTTTAATCTTCCTTGAGGAGGAACGCTGCAGAACTCAAAAGGTTGAACGGGAGTTTGTGACATCTGAACAGATCCAAGAAAAGGATTGTCCTAAAACAGAATTTTAATCCCTTCTTCTATAGGCAGAACAGGGCTGCGTTTCCATATTGAGGACTGGGAATAAAATTGCCCTGCACTCATTTGTGAAAAGAGCCTTATTCAAACGTTGCCTAAACACCATAGCTATTGGTGGACAAGTCTACCCTCGTCAAGTTGAACGAGAGAACTGTTCCTATTTGGGCCGTCACTGTCGCTGTCCCTTCAGCACCACGTGGAAAGGGAAAACGCTTCTTTCGGAAGTGAGCACTGGAAGATTTTTTTAAAAAAATGTATCCCACCTTTATTACTTTTATAAGTTAACTCAAGGAGGTGAACATACCCAACACACCTTCCTCCTCCTGTTTTCCCCACAACAGCCAATTATAAGGTGAGTTGGGTGAGAGACAGTACCAAAGTCAACCAACTGGCTTTCATAACTAAGGTAGGAATAGAACTCTTGGTCTCCCCATTTTCTAGCCTGGTGCCTTAACCACTAGCCCAAATTAGCTCTTGGTTACCTATGAAAAGTTATCTAATCACAGCTGTTATCTTAGCAAATACACACAATGAGAGAGAGAATCGATCCTCCATTTTCTGTGCATAAAGAGGTCATTTCACAATCATTTATCTCCATTAATTTTCTATTATTGACAAGGAGATTTAGAATATTACAATTCCAATTAATGAACCTTTGCAGATGGCCATGAATATGAAATATATACTTAAATGTAGACACAGATTTTCTAGAATCCCCAAGATAAATTAGCATGAAGCGCTTGACACGCCCTTCACATAAGGTAATTCAGAATGCTGCTCAGACGTATTATTACTTTTAACCTACATTGTGTTATCCAAATGGATTTCTCCAAGCCGCTTATTGCTATGCATTATTCATTATTTGAGATTCATGAATTTAAATGTTCAGTCTGTCTCTCCCCACCACTTTCTCAGCCTCATCACCCTATAACACACACACACACACACGTGTGTGTGTGTGTGTGTGTGTGTGTGTGTCTTTTTCTTTTTCGTAGGCTTTTATGTGCATATTCTTTCTAGCCAGGTTTTACCTACGTAAACTAGCTATCTGAGTCTCCCAGAGAGCAACACAGAGTTGCAGTTTGTCAGCAGAAAAAAGGCCCAGAAACTTGTGAATGAGATTTCACAGAACCAGGGCTGTAGAACAACTTAGTTTACGTAGGTAAAACCTGGCTAGAAAGAATATGCATATATATATATATATATATATATATATATATCTATATATATATATATATATATATAGTATCCAAACCCTTGCTTTTATAATAGGGCACCATGTATATATGAAAATAATGGCAGACACAGGACAAAAAACTTACTATTTTAAGAGAAAATTGATTTCTGAGAAAAATAATTTGAGTTGGGTGATGTTCATGCATGTACTGTGGGGATTAATGAAGAGGAATGCATGTGGGGGTAAAAGTTGTTTACCCTTTTTTTTCACCCTTCAAGGTCATCTTTCCATTACACTATGGTGTCATGGAGAGTTCTGTTGGTTCAGCTGTTTTGAGAAGACAGAGGGCAGCATATGGTCTACCAGAAACACAAAAGTCTGCATTACTGAAAGCTTATAAATATTAATACCACTATTCTGGCTAAGTAGTCAGTAGAAGCCGCCAATGGAGATTTCAAAAGAAAAGTGTTGAAAATAAGATTTTTTTGCAGAGTACAGAATAATTTTCATAGATCACCAGAGACGAAGCTTGGCTAGAAGCAGTGATGCCAACAATAATCTACACACAGTCAAACATAAGACCAGGGAAAGGTGTATTGTAATTGTATCATTAAACATTAATTCCAAAACAGAATATTCACAGTGAAAGGGATTCACAGAAGAGTAATAAGTGGACTTATTCCAGAAGTCAATAGAAAATCATGTTAGATGTAATACAAGAGAGTAAAACTGAAAGTGAAAGGCAGTTATAAAAAATTAAGAAATAATAGCTAGAAGTGTATCAAGTACTCACAGTTTAAAGTATCACGACAGCAAATCACATGGGCTCACAAGCAACAAATATGGCTTCAAAAAAAAAGGCTGCTTTCAAACAGAGAGCTTTATATTATAGGCTGTAGCTCCTCCACCATTACTCAGTGGGTGCTTATTAAGTCTGATGTGACTGCAAGCCATTTGAGGTATCAAAGTACTCTTAAGTAGATCTTTATTCTGTAAGGCTCTCTCCCTCACATCCAAATATTTTTGCTCCTTTTTCCCTTTTGGGATTCAACTTAACTGTGCCATCAGTCATGTCCAGTGGATGGCTGTACAGGTGAGATCAAGGTATCAAGGTGACCATTGAATTCCATCTTTTTTAGTTTTATCTCATTTTAGGCAAAGTACTATTTAACCCAATGAGTAGAAAAGACCACCAAATGCATCTGATTTGTCACATTTTGAATCTAACAAAGTAATGCCTGCTATAGGGCAAATCACTATTAAGTCCACAGTCTCATATTTTGAACTATGTTATGTAGAATGAGGAATGTACTTCAGATAATTACCTTCACCAAGAGTAGCTGCTAAGAATAGAGATGGATCTTGCAAAATAAGCGCTGGTGAGGTAGGACAGTTGGTGCAGCTAAAGTATGTTTAACAGATGCTACTCAGATAAGTCATCAAATTTAATGGGTCTTACCTCAATTGTAACATGGGAGCAAGTTACAATGGATTCAGTGAGTTTATTTTTGTCTATGCACTTATGGAACTTGGATATAACTCACTATCAATCCATATGTGTCATATGGGGGAATTTGCACCAATGAAGATCTTCAAATTTAAAGGATAAAACCTTAAATTTTCACTGGTGTTAAACACCAGATACAAAATTTTAGAACTGTGCTTCTAATTACATTACTGTATTACCATTACTTTTCTACCAAGGTGTTATTTGAGTTGTTTTGTGCGTCTTTGAACTTTTTGTCAAGTTTTTGCAAGGATGTTTAAAGGAAAAGATGACAGGAAAATCTACAGAGGTAAGAAATGAAGTTCTTCACTTACCTTACTGTTAAAGTGACCAAGAGCTGTATATGTGAGTGTTGTGCATTTCATTGTATAATCATTTCACAATCAGACTCTAGGAACTCCTGGCCATTTCTTTTTAATGCAGGTAAGTTGTTTTTTTTAAATTTCATTTACAATTCTCGATTTTCCTAGTGGATTTCCATAGCAGTAGAAAGGTTCAACTCTACCTTTCAAGAGCAACCAAAATAATTGCCATTACCTGTGATGGATATTGTACCTGGATATATGTTTTTAGCTGCGTGGACATCATTATAGTATTTGGTTTATGAAGTTGCAATGATCTCTGTTACTGGTTCATTGTAATGAAATAACTTGGGTTTCTAGAGAGAGTCTGGTAGGTATTCACTGGTAGGTAAACAGACAAATAAATGCATTGATAGAAATAACTTTCCTAATTGTTTTCTGTTTATCTTTTTATGGGTGACACTTTGTTTAAATGTGACATGCATAAAAAATGGCTGGAGTCTTGACATTTTTACCATATTCTATAGATACCCTTGGATACATGGTTGAAAACAACCAATCTCATCCAATATATCTACTTATAACCACATTAATGGGGTCAGATGGTCATAGAATTTACAGTTTTAAAATATATTGTTTAACTCCTCTGAATTCATCAACATGGTGGCAAACAGAACACAGCAAGATTTACAATATTGTATATTTTCTATATTATATGTGCTTTTCCATTTCATCTTCTATTTTTTCCTAAAAATCAGCATTTATTATTACCCACTGAGCCTACTTAGTCATTTTGGGCCATTTGGTGTCAGCCCTACTAAGTAGACCAGACCAGGAAGACAATTCCACAGGAAGGCTAAAACTACTTATATTAAAACAAAATTGTGTAAATCTGATTACAGTGCAGTAAACATTTCTGCCTGGGCAATTGAATCCAAATGCTACCGCATTAGATTGGACTTGACAAATGCTTCAACCACTTTGGGTTAGGTAATGGTTCCTAGAAGTTTCTATCAAGGTCATCTTCCTTAACTCTCTACATGTGTGAAACTTTCTCTTTGCCACTGCTCCCCTCAAAAAAATTCTGCAACCTATATATGCCTCCATCCTGTGTATGGAAAAGGCTATAAGCACTTGGATAGCATGTTCGCTGTTCTACTGCATTTTCTATTGGGTTTTCCAATGCTCAGTTGATGCTATTTCACAACAGAGCAAATTAATATACATGACGTTACTTTGTGTTATTGTGCTACCCTACTGATTATAATTATGTTTATGAAAGGAGCTGTTTTGAAACATCTTTATTTACTGCATCTGACTGATACGAGGGTGAGCTAGTTGTTCCTTTGAAATGCTTTATGTGCCTGAATCAGTTTAGGAGGATTTGAGAGTGAATAGCTCAATACAAAATTTGCTTCAATTAATAATGGGTGTTTTTGTAACTTGTTTATTACTTCAGTTTTACGAAATGGCGGGGGGGGGGAAACTAGATGCACAGTGATTGCATCTCTGGGAAAGAAACGGATCCCTCCAACGGGTGATGTTTCTAGTCAGAGATGTCGACAGCAAACTAAGAATTCCATTAAAATGAAACGTCCATGGTGACATCATAATGCAAGCTCTAGTCTTACATGTCATCATGGTGTCACAATGTGCATCATTTGCCTCCCCACACTCCAAGTACGGATCTTAATTAGCACACAGAATTGTAACACGTTCCAGAATACAAAAAGTCTTTTTGCACCTTAAAGATTAACCAAGTTAATATACCAGAGAATCCTCTTAATATTAGGATCCCTAGTATCAGGTTGAGACAGGAATACACAGACAAACATGTCCATGCACCCATGTATGGATAGGGGAATAATAATGACTGAGACTAGAGGAAAACAAAATATAGGAGGGGCAGATAGTAATCATTACCAGGAGTGGGCTGCTGGGGGTTCGGAGTGGTTTGGGAGAACCTCTAGCTAAGATTCTGTGCAGTTCGGAGAACCCCCAAATCCCACTCCTGTCTGGCCCCGCCCACCCCGCCCCTCCCAGAAGTCCCCATGTGGCCAGTTTTGGATGCAGGTAAGTGCAGGCTGCACACAGAGGCTCAGGGAGGGCGAAAAATGGGCCTACCGGAAGTTTGAGAAGGCCAGAAACGGGGCCATTTCTGCATCCAGAGGGTCTCCGGAGCCTGTTTTCGCCCTACCGGAGGCTCAAGAAACGCCTCCGGAGCCCGGGGAGGGCAAAAACACCCCACCACCACCACTATGGTGCAGGAGGCCAACTAGGCCATGTCCACCATGTCCACACCCACCCAGCAACCGGGTAGAGAACCCCTTGCTAAAATTTTTGAAGCCCACCCCGATCATTACCCTTTTGACTATCAGAGCAAGTCTTCTTCATTGGGACACTTCCATGGAGCTTTCTTGGCCATATAAGAATGCAGTTTGCCATTGACAAATTCTACAGTGTTTTCTCACCTCCCAATCTTCCTTTAATAAATGTCATTGGAAAAACAATTGCTCAGTTTCTTGAACTGGGGAGCTGATTAATACAGATAGCATGACAAGAGTTCCCTTTCTCTTCAACAAGAATTATAAGGAGAAAGCGGGATGAGAACATAGGAGCCTTAATCAATCACCGTTGATCCAATAATCTATATTACATTAAAGTTCAGATCAGCATGGATGCGAATCCAAAGATAAGAATTTCTTTATCTCCGTGAAAACCCGTGAACGAATACTCCTATTTGTAACTGGTTGTCTGCAGCTTTTTCAAACCGTTCCTCTCTCTCCAAATTGTGACATGCAAGCTGAACAAGCCCAAAGCAGGAGTTTCTGCATAGTCTCTTTCATCAAAGCTTTGCTCTCTAAATGACCGAAAAGAAAAATTTCCCCCTAAGCAAGTTTCATGGAATAGGAGTTGAATGCAGGGGCACAGAGACACCACTGCCATTCACAGGGAACAAAAAACTCAGGAAGTTGCTATAGCAATTTTTCCAAGGAGGAGACTCAAGGAGCTTGTGGTGTTACTCTAATAAAGGGGTTCTTATCATATTTCTGATTCGACCCAAAAAATAATTCCTGTTGCGGTTCATTGCACCTTCCGCCGCGCTTTAAAGACCTTATTGTTTCACCAGGCAGGCCTGACCTAATTTTCTCCCTCTTTCATAAAAGATTTTTAATTTTTAATATCTTTTAGTATTTTATACATTCAATTTTAAAATTGGTTTTAAATAGTTCGGGGTTTTAAATTTGTCAGAGCCAAAATTATTTAATTTGATTTTATTCTACTTTTAAATTTTGTATGGATGTGTTTTATTGTTTGGCTGTGCACCGCCCTGAGTCCTTCGAGAGTAGGGCGGTATAGAAATCGAATAAAATAAATAAATTGGGGTCCTTCCAAGACCTGCAGGCATAACATCACAGCCTGAATGTGTTGAACGGTTCCTGGCTTTTAATTCTTAACAGAGTTCTAAACTGGGACCCTGCTGGAAAATTCCAGCTGTGCAATGCAATTTACAATGGGATGCTAAAAGCGGAAATCTGCATTTGGAGACATTGCTGTAGTTTGAAGGGCAGGCTTGGTGATAAGTAAATGGTTTGTTTGCTTATCACCTATATTAGGTGATAAGTAAATGAACCATGGATGCACCAAATTATTGTTTTAAAAAATATCGGAGGGGGAGGGGAATCTGATCTAGATGGATTAGTTAGCAGAGAAGAAATACACTAGGATGCATGTTGGGTTGGGATGGGTGATACTAGGTGAATTTTGGAGGTGTTTTTTAATATCCAGAATCACTCCAGCAGTGAGATAGGCCGCATATAAATTTAATAAATATGTAAATAAATAAAAAACTACGTTAAACTCATTTATAATTCAAATTTATTCTGAAAGCTCAGTATAGCAGGAAGAATTAGGTTTTGACAGTTGCATTGGAGGGTCTTCAGACTCTAAAGAGAAGGTCTCAGAGTTTAGAGATTTGCCTCTAGCCATTTTCCTGTCACTAACTACTCACTCAGGCCCACCAGTGGCCTTGGCCTCATCTTTTCCAGGTCAACTGAAACAGCTGAGCTGAGAAATAGCACAAGACATAGGCCTTTTGATATTTCAGGAACACAAGGTTGAATTTTGAGTTGAGGGTCTTGAAAGAAATATAGAAAAGAGAAAGGAATGTTTAAAGAGTCATCTGCAGGTCCATCTTTAAAACAGATTAGGAAAAAAATATACTCTCAAATCAGAAACATTGGATGCTTTACAAGTAATTATACATTAAGTAAGTAAAGATGAATACTTTTCATCTTTTTATTTTCCCTTTTCACCTTACCAAACTACCTTACCTCTCCAAACTAGGCAAAATATGATTCTTGTTCCTTATAGCTCTTTTCCAAAAAATTCTTTAAAGTAGTCCTCTTCTGAGTTAATATTACCAAAAAGTCTAAACTGATTTATGAAGGAATTTTAAAAAACAACAAAAAGGGCTACCTTACCTTGGTTGCAAAACTCCAGGTGATCTTTAGGTGGCAGAAAAGACAAAAAATACTGATCAGCTTGGTGTCGTGATTAAGGTGCTGGACTAAGAACCCAGGCATTGGGAGTTCTAGTCCTTTAAGCATGAAAGCCAGCTGGGTGACTTTGAGCCAGTCATTTTCTCTCAGATCAAACACCCTTTTGCAGGGTTATTATTGTGGGGAAAACAGGAGGAAGGAAGATGTCTTGGATAAGTTTGCTGAGTTATTTGTAAAAATAATAAAGGTAGGATACAAGTTAAATAAATGAAATGAAATTGTGGGAAAACCATTATGTATATTGCCTTCAGTTGTACAAAATCAAGGCAGGATGTAATAATTTTAGTTTTAAACATGGGGTGGTCTTCAGGCTTTCTCCACTCTCCATATAGGATCCCCTTTTTAAAAGGCTTTCCAGTAACATCTGTGTCGAAAATATATTGAAATAGTTTCAATTGGCTCTTGATGATGTGGCCTAAAATTGGGCTGTGCGTGTGTTATATCTACCCCCTTTGCAGAATAAAACAAACACACACACAATAGCTTATTCAGAGAGCCTATGCAAGGACCCCAGACTCATTTTATGTGGTCTGCGCTGTAACATTTTCCCCTTCAATTTATCATCTTTAGAAGCTTCTCTGGAGAAGAGGCATGCAGACGGGAGCAGAAAACTAATCCATCCAGTCAAATATTTGCCAAAATTGACAAGCACAAGCTAATAAGCAAAGGAGACAACCCCCCCCCAACCTTTTTAGCAGAATCTCAGAGATAAAAGGGGAATTCTGAATGAGCCTACAAGGGTGAGCAAGATGGATGCAGCCATTTTCTAATCTTTTGTTCAACAGTTTGCTAAAAGGGCCAGAGTTGTGTCCTTGTTCAGCAGTGGAACTGCCAGCTCCTTTTCTTGTCTTTTGTTTTTTTTTTTTTCACAATGCCCCTTCTAACGAAACGCAAGGCAGTTTTCTACACAAAATGGAGGGGGCAGGTGGGTGTTGTCGGTGCACTAAGCAATTATTTCAAGGAGAGCCCAGTTGCCTTGGTTACCAATCATCAAACCAGGGGGGCCTTTGCAGTCTTGTCAAAATCAGAATTCCTTTTGTCCTCTTCGCCATAGTGAAGAAAGAAATGTTGTTGTGCCAGACAGAAAGCTGAGTGAAGAAATGGAGTGCTTTCCAGATTTGGCCGTTTAGGAAACCTGAGCCTAAGTTGTAAGGGCCAAGGAAAGATGGCGTACAACAGAGTTTAAGATAGAAGAGCATAGCAGGAGCAGGTTGACTTCCTATTGGCAAGACAACTCCTTCTCTAACAGTGAGAAGGAAAACTCTGCTCCATCTATTTTTTTTTTTTTAATTTGATTTATATGCCGCCCTTCTCCGGAGACTCAGGGCGGCTTACAATGCACTAAGCAATAGCCTTCATTCTTTTGTATATTTTATACAAAGTCAGCTTATTGCCCCCACAACTGGGTCCTCAATTTACCTACCTTAGAAAGGATGGAAGGCTGAGTCAACCTTGAGCCTGGCGAGATTCAAACCTGCAGTAATTGCAGGCAGCTGGTCTTAATAACAGGGTGCTTTAGACCACTGTACTACCAAGGCTCTATTTATATCCTACCTTCATTATTTTTACAAATAACATACCCAACGTACCTTCCTCCTGTTACAAACCAGTGAGGTGAGTTGGGCTGAGAGTGAGGCTCAAAGTCACCCAGTCACCTTTCACGCTTAGCAATGGAAATTCTGGTCCCACTAATAAAGTCAAGGACTACCTTTATGGGTGATGCTGCTAGCACAGGCTTCTCCTTAAATATTCCCTATTTGTTTTGCCTGGAGAGACCCAACATAGCTTGTAATGGCTACTAGTATGCGATACAGAGTGACCCTATTCTTTTTTTTTTTTAATTGAAAAAGTTTTCAAATACAAATTTTCCCCCCATTTTTCTCCCCCCCTCCTCCCTAACCCCCCCTCACCACCCATCCCCCCCCTGTGACTTCTTCACAACAAAAACCTAATTCATAACAGATTATATAATATTTTACCATCCCCTTACTCCCTCCTCTAAATACTGACCCTTACATGCTAATAATATTATTATTATTACTTCCCCCTTTTACCATACATTTCAAAATAACATTATATAATAACTTCTAATTTAGCATAATATTATTATAACTCCCAATCTAGCAACAATCTGCCCTTTTTTTTCTCCTCCCCCATACTTATATGTATAACATTTCAAAGCAGCCTTCCCCATAAATCTTAATTTAACATTTATTCAACTCTATCCATTTCCTCCACTCCCCTAAATATATCACTTAAACGTCCCTTTTCTTAAACTAAACAATCAGTAAACTAACCTATTTCCACCCACTTTCCTACAAAATTGCCATGCACAACAATTCTTAATATCTTTAATCTACTGCCCGCCCTGCTAAAAAAAATATATTCCGTTATATAAAAAAAATCAATGACTTTAAATTTATAATCCATACAATATCTTCTTTAATGTCATTCCACTGGATTGTTGAGTCCATCATCCATATTAGGGTAACATAGCATCCTGGTTGCAACAGTTTGTTCAAAATCCTCGGTCATCATCTGCCCCCATCAGTAATGAATATCCTCATATATATATAAAAAAGGAAAACAACCACCCGAGTGACATTATAATTATATTCCATATAGTATCTGTAATTGTGGCAGATTACAGAGTGACCCTATTCTTGTCGTCGTCAGGCATTCAGTCGTGTCCGACCCTTGGCCACTCCGTGCCCCTCTGTCTCGAACTGCCTCCTTCAGATCCACCATAGTTATCCCAGTGTCATTTTATAGTGTCCAGCCAGCTGGTACTATATCGTGCCCAGCCAGTAAAGCTATCACTGTCTAATAACTGAAGATACAGTTAGAAGAAAAATCGTTGATCTGGTTTATGATGCTGAAGGCAAAAAAATAAGCAGTTTTGCTGCATTTTCTGACTCTTTCCTGCCTTGTAATTTTTAAACTTACGTTTAGGATTCCATCAATTATTTTAGCTTGCTGTTTAAGGCCTTTTTAAAATGGTAAATACTGCAAATATCATTCATTCATTTCTTCGGTTTAAGTATAGGAGTGAGAACCATAAACCAGTGGAGCAATTTGACTTCAGGAGTTGTGGGTGCTCCAACACTGGAGGTTTTTAAGAAGAGATTGGACAGCCATTTGTCTGAAATGGAATAAGGTTTCCTGCTTGAGCAATGGGTCGGACTAGAAGACCTTCAAGGTCCCTTCCAACTCTGTTAAATTGGTTATTCTGTTACTATGTCAAGTATTATACTTCTGCTACAGATCTAGTATGAGCTAGGAGGCAGGGAGTGACTCAAAATCATTGTCATTTTCCTGGATCTGAGGATTATTTATTTATTTATTTATTTATTTATTTATTTATTTATTTATTTGTTCGTTCGTTTGTTCGTTTGTTTGTTTATTTATTTAAATTTTTTTTTAATAAACAGTAAATAATAAATTGAGTCAACTTGGTGTATCTGCTAAGACCTTGGCATAGAATTTAGGTGTTTATGCTAGCCCTGCTTGTTGAAACAGAAAGGTCTTCAGGGCACGTCGGAAAGTGCGAAGATCTGGGATTATTCGTATTCCAGGGGGTATTTTGTTCCAAAGAGTAGGTGCCCCCACAGAGAAGGCTCTCTCCCTTGGAACTACTAGACGACATTGTTTTAATGATGGTTCTATGAGTAGGCCTACTCTGTGAGAGCGTATTGGTTGGTGGGAGGTTATCGGTTGCAGTAGGTGGTCTCGTAAGTACTCAGGTCCTAAGCCATGGAGCACTTTAAAGGCAAGAACCAACACTTGAAGCGCACTCGGAAGGCCACCGGAAGCCAGTGCAGCTCGCGTAGAAGAGGTGTTACATGTGAGCACCATGTTGCTCCCATAATTACTCGCGCGGCCACATTCTGGACCAGTTGGAGCTTCCGGGTGCACTTCAAGGGGAGCCCCATGTAGACAGCATTGCAGTAGTCAAGTCGGGAAATGACGAGGGCTTGAGTGACTGTGCGTAAGGAGTCCCAGTCTAGAAAGGGACGCAATTGGCGAATCAGGCGAACCTGATAGAAACTTGAACCAGATACCTTAATTTCTACACTGCAGTAAGAAATGGGAAGGGCAGCTTCTCATTTCTGGCATCTAGTCTTGAAATAGATCTGGCTTTGTCTTTTTGAGACGTCTCATTAAAAAGATGTTTCTCGTAACAGCTTCTGGATCTTCTCTCGCACACAGACACAGACAAAAGTAGTTTTTCCTTCTTGCTGTTCCTATCAAGGTTTGCCAACTCGGGAGTTGGGTTTACGAATAGAAAATGACAGCAAGGAAATGACAGGGCAGGATCAGAGGCCTCTGCAGGTTGGCAGTGCTTCCCCCAGGCTGTGATCTTTGCGATCTTTCGAAGAAGCCTGTCATCCCTGCTTGCTAGACACGTCCACAAGGAAGCTAAAGCTACTCTTGATTGAGATTGGCTATAACAGAATCTCGCATGTTTGGTTGTGCTGTGTGTCTTCCTCCTTCTTATAGTTGTTATTTGGATGTTTTAGACCTCAACAATGTTTCAGACCAGTAGTGGGTTTCAATTTTTTTTACTACCGGTTCTGTGGGTGTGGCTTGGTGGGCGTGGCATGGCTTGGTGGGCGTGGCAGGGGAACGATACTGTAAAATGTCCATTCCCAACTTAGATGCGTGTGCACACTCACTGAATCGGTTGTTAAACCAACAACAACTGCTGATGATGCCAACCCTGTCACCAGCATTTAAAGTTGTTAGACCAGGTTTTCCTCTGCAGATAGTGCTCGATTTATAACAATTGAGGCTCGAACTTCCACCGCTAAGAGATATGAACATTGAATCCGATTTTATGATCTATTTTGCTGCAGTGGTTAAGCAATTCACTACCGTTATTAAGCTAATGAGATGGTCTTTTTCCTGCTTCCCCCACTGACATTGTTTGACGGAAGCCATCTGGGAAGGTTGTAATCATGTGCATCACATAGCAATCATGTGATGCAACTATCATAAATATATGCTTCGGTTGCCAACTGAATTTTGATCACATGACCATGGGGATTTTGCAATGGTCATAAGTGCAAGGACTGATTGCAAGTCACTTTTTTCAGCCCAGTCGTAACTTTGGTCATTAAACCAAGGGTCATAAATTGAGGATTACCTGTAGGTCATTTTCTTTCTCTGAATCTCTATAAATTACATTTATTTTCTTCCATACCCCGTTACAAAATTATATCTTGACTCTACCACAATCTCTTTCTTTCAGAAAGAGGTTCCCCATATAAAAATGCTTCAATAATATCATACAATCACTTACTTTATAAAAACCCATTATAAAGTAAAACAAGCCAGCAACAAAATAAAAAAGCTAAAAGTTAGTTGCCACAATTCCAAGACAACCCTCATCCTTTACCAATTGCTGAAATACATCTTTAATTTATCAGGATGAACTAAGCCAGGATGGTTTTTAAAAACCGCTTTTGAATAATCTTTTAACCACCATGCCTTGAATGAGCAACTATCATCTGTCTTCACATACTGTATGAAATAATAAGCCAGAGTTTTAAACCACAAATTGTAGATGTGCGTAACACATGAAGCCACAACGAGGCTACACTGTGACCTAGCCCAACATGGGCGCCCCATCACAAGTGTAATCACCGAACCTGTTTAGATCTTGAAAGAAACTTGTTTTAACAAAAAACCAAGTAAGTTGCCTTCTGAATCAAAGCAAAATGCGGAATCACAGGGACTCCGTCACAGTAAATCTACAGATGAACATGCAGAGGCTCCTTTGTTCAAGATAGAAGCGCTAAAATTAAGCTGTCTTCAAACTCATATCAGTTCAGGGCATCATGACCAGACTTTCCAAATTGAGATGATTCCTTGATGTGGACATTCCAACAGTCCAGAATGTAAAATGGGCCTTGAGGAGGAATGATGCCACTTCACACAAGGCTATTATTCCATTTCTCACCCGGCACTAAGAGCGTGGGAACTTCTCTTTATAGTTTTGATTCATGAGAGAGGATGTTAAAACACTCTATGGAACTTTGCTCCCCCAAAGAAGCATGAATTATTCCATTACGCAGCTTTCTCGTCTCACAGTATGTGCCCCAAAGGACCATCATTAAGGTTCTTGGCTTGCTGCCTTCCTGCATTAAATATTAGGTTTGTGTGGCCTAGCCACTTTGTTTTCATTGTTCACCAGAGGTCAAAGCACACTGCCAGTAATTACCCTCCCTTAAGAACACCATAGACGTTTTGGTTTAAATGAAGGAGCCATTGCACTGTAATCTCTCGCTCTTTTCCAAACATCTTCCTTCTTTTCAATACATTTTGAGAAACTGTCAAAAGTAGTCTTATAAAATATTAGTAAATATTTTTTACTAATATTTTCTAACACTACTAAATCTCGGTATATCAGCTTCATCTTTAGAGCCTGATTTGGTCCAGATATTTGAATATTCAATCTTTGAGATGGAAATCCTCAAAGGAGGAAGCCTCCATCTGCGTCTCTCAAAACGATCAATGCCCCGCCCAACATTTCTGCTGCATTTTCCTCTGTTACTCGCTTTCAGTTTGATGAAGTAGAATTTGCTTTTAAAAATAAGAATTAGGTGAAATTTTCAGAAACGGAGACACAGATTTGGGCCCTTTCAGCGGCATGCATTGTCCTTTCCTTTCTTATCTAGATTCACTAATTATCCCAATTAATTATCCATTAATTAGTTATCCAAATTATATTATTTGGGATGATTCCTATACCTCAAAACATTTTATCCAGTTCCTCATTATTGTGGCAGCAAGAAGCAATTTCTGTAGTTTGCTTCTTTTTCTTTGAGTCTTGTTATTTTGACATCAGAGA